AAGGGCCCACTGAGTACAATAGAGTGCATAATACATATTGAAAACCCACTATACAGCACATTATTGTAAAATTTCAAATGAGAAAGGGGAAGGAGAACATACTAAAAGCTTCTTAGAGAGAACCAAAAAGGAGTCACATATCCAGAGAACTGGGGATCACAACAGATTTTGGGCTTCTCGACAGTAACCTAGAATAACTATCATATTGAACACTTAACAGCATATCTAACAGGTGAACAAAGATATTCTCATGGATTTTTTTTTAAGATATACTTTTTATTTGAAAGGCAGAGCAACACAGAGAAAGGGAGAGAGAGAGAGAGAGATCTTCTATCCTCTGGTCCACTTCCCAAAAGGCTTACAAGAGTCAGTGCTGGGCCAGGCTGAAGCCAGTAGCTTGGAACTCCATCTGGGTCTCCCACATGGGTGGCAGGAGCTCATGTACTTGGGCCATCTTCCATTCCCTTCCCAGGTGCATTAGCAGGGAACTGCCTCCCCATGTGGCCCCATGCCTTGCCTCCTGCTTCTAGGACCTGTAGCTGCAACTGGCCCTCCATATCCACAGCTCCTCATCTGCAAATTCAACCAACCACACATCAAACGTATTCTAAAAGAAAAACTGCTTCTGTATGGAAGGTTTTTCTTCTGGTCATTGTTCCCTAAACAATACAATGCAACAGCTATTCTATAGCTTGTGCATTGTGTTGGGTATTGTAAGTTGGAGATGATTAAGTATATGGAAAGATATGTGTAGGTTATATGCAAATACTATGTCATTTCACATAAAGGACTTACATTTTTATTTATTTATTTTATTTGAAAGGGAAACAGAGAGACAGAGACAGAGACACAGAGAAAGATCTTCCATGTGCTGCTTCATTCCTCAAATGCCCACAACAGCCAGGGCTGGGCCAGGCGGAAACCAGGAGCCCAGAATTCCATCCAGGTCTCCTCTATGGGTGGCAGGGACCCAAATACCTAAACGACTTTGCCTTCCAGAGTATGAATTAGCAGGAACCTGGAATGAGATATGGGGCTGGAACTTGAATCTAGGAGCTCTAACATGGGATGTAGGCGCCCCAAGATGCATCTTTTTTTTTTTTTGACAGGCAGAGTTAGACAGTGAGAGAGAGAGAGATAGAGACAGAGAGAAAGGTCTTCTTTTGCCATTGGTTCACCCTCCAATGGCCACCGCGGCCAGCGCCCTGCGGCCGACACACCACACTGATCCAAAGGCAGGAGCCAGGTTCTTCTCCTGGTCTCCCATGTGGGTGCTGGGCCCAAGCACTTGGGCCATCCTCCACTGCACTCCCGGGCCACAGCAGAGAGCTGGCCTGGGAGAGGGGCAACCGGGACAGAATCCGGCGCCCTGACCGGGACTAGAACCCGGCGTGCCGGCGCCGCTAGGTGGAGGATTAGCCTAGTGAGCCGAGGCGCCAGCCCCAAGATGCATCTTAACGACTGCTCCAAATGCCTGCCACTTGAGCACAGGCAGATTTTTGTATCAGTGGCAGGTCCTGGACCCAATTCCTGCCTCCTCCCTCGTGGGGATACCAAGGGACGATGGTTTAATAAACTTGGTCTCCGTGAGCCTGTGTTGTAGCCCCTCTTGCGGCTGCACCTGACTATCACGTGCAAGAACACAAAGCAATCATGTTGGGAAATGTGTGCTTCAGTCAGAGCGCAGAGTTGAATAAACGATACACACGTTAGAAACTAAGCAAAGGACAAAAACAGGGTGATTGCAAAAAGTTTCACGGGAGAGGAAATCTTCTTCCAGAACACTACATGGTTCAACTAGAAATAATATTTACATAGCCACAATTGTGTCTATAATTTTGAATCGATTATCAGTGAGTGACAACCCTATATGCCAAGAAAGGAAAGGTATGAGTACTGCAGTTGGTGCAAAAGAATTGTATTTTTATCTTTCAAAATACAGTTAATAGATAACAGCTAAAATGGATACTTTTTTAAAAATCATAGAAAACAGCAATATAAATATACTGTTAGAAAATTAAAGCTGTATCTCAAAAAAGAAACAAAAATAGATGCCTCTACACAGTAGGGAAAGACAAGGCAAGAGGCTGCTGTTTTAATTTTTTAAAGACTTATTTTTACCTGGTGTCTTTAAAATTTTGACTTTTTAAGTTTTGTACATGTGAAATTTTAATTTTTAATACAGAAAAATGACCCTACAGTCAAAATTCAACAGTTTTTACAACACTTAGTGAAATGACTTAGTGTTGGGCACAAAGACAAGGGTGATGAGGTTTGGGAGCAAACAGCTGATTCTCAGCAGTGGCTCACTTACGCCGAGGGTCTGTGGGCTCATGAGCGAGAAGCCCACCAGCTGTGGGCACTGAGCGCCCCAAGGGCACTTGGTTGGTTGGTCAGTACGTTTCCTAGAAGGAATACACAGCTCTGGCTAACCCAGTAAGTCATTTAAACTGAGGTCCGTTTAAAAAGCTGCTTCAGTAATTAACCCAGAGAATTTTAAAAAGGATGAACTAAAACTGCTTTAATCCACCCTCTTCTGCTACTGTGTCCTTTCCCGTGGGTTTGATGGAAGAACTACTACAAAGGAAGATCATCCGTCTCGGGGTCATTCAGCTCCCCCTGAAATATTCCCTCTCTGGAGGGAAATCTGCAAATGAGGAGGAATTAGATCCTTTTGAAGGGCAGGCTATCTTAAATATCCTTGGCTTCATCCGCCAAATGAGTTAGAAAACTGGCAAAAGAGATAACAAAGCCACGTCTGCTGCTTGCACTGCAATGGATCTGACTGAATTTCAGCCACCGGATTTGTTCCGTGAGTGCCCTCTTGTCCTTCGTGTTCTGGCTCAGTTCTAACCAGCATACAGAGAAGCAAGAGCAAAGGAGCAGTCAGAGTTCAAAACAGGACCCGAGACAAAGCTTCCTACGTGCTCAGTAGGTGTGCAGCAAATCTTCGTCTCAGAGCACCATCTGACCTGCCCTAGTCAACGATGCCTTGCAGATTTGAACATTTTGGATGGTTAATTATTAGAAGAGTTAAGGATATATAGATAGGGTACAATGGCTTAAGCCGCCACCTGTGACACTGGCATCCCATATGGGCTCTGGTTTGAGTTCCAGCTGTTCCACTTCTCTTTTTTTTTTTTTTTAAAGATTTATTTATTTATTTGAGAGGCAGAAATAGAGAGAGAGAGGAGAGAAAGGAGAGAGAGAGAGAGAGAAAGAATCTTCCATCTGCTGGTTCACTCCCCAAACAGCCATAACAGCCAAGGCTGGGTCAGGCTGAAGTCAGGAGCCAGGAGCTTCTTCCAGGTCTCCCACCTGGGTGCAGGCCAAATGTTTGGGTCATCTTCCACTGCTTTCTCAGGCACATTAGCAAGGGACTTGGTTGGAAGTGGAGCAGCTGGGACTCCAACCTATGGGATGCTGGCACTGCAGGCAGAGGTTTAACCCTCTGAACTGGCCACAATGCTGCCTCCCCACCCCCAACACATCTGGCTGCTCCACTTCTGATCCAGCTCCCTGCTAATGCACCTGGGAAAGCATCAAAAGTTGGCCCAAGTGCTAGGGCCCCTGTACCCATGTGAGAGACCAAATGAAAGTTACTGGCTCCTGGCTTTGGCCTGGCCCAGCCCCGGCTGTTGCAGCCATTTGAGGAGTGAACCAGCAGATGGAAGATCTTTCTTTCTCTCTTTCTCTCTCTCTCTCTCTGTCTTTTAAATAAATGAATTGATTTTTTAAAAAAAGAAGACATGCATAGTTACTTTTTCAACAAATCAGCCAAATGCTGATCTCTTTGCTATGCTATCTCAAGCAGTAGTCCGTAGATATCTTGCCCAATAAGGGGAATCTGTCTCCTGTTCCTTTCCTTGAATTCAACTCCGGATCACCCAGGAAGATTATATCCACCTCCCTTCATCACTTGCTGAGTCCCTGGGGCTGTGCCAGCCCTTCCTGGTAAGAACTCATCACCTGTCCTCCTCAGCTGAAACTAGAAAACCAAGCGAAGCAGAAATCAGCTTTTTTACATTCACTGAGCCATTAAACAGTTTACCTTCTGCTATGCTCTGAATGTCTGTGCTCTCCCCCAAACCTAAGTTCATCTGTGGAAATCCCAACCCCCAAGGTGATGGCGGTAGGAGGTGGGGCCTTTGGGAGGGAATTAGGTCATGAGGTTGCAGCCCTCATGAATGAGATTAGTGCCCTCCTAATGGAGACCCCAGCGAGCTGTGTGGAGACACAGGATGTGATGACTGACTACAGACCAGGAAGCAGGCCTTCCTCAAGAGGCTGAACCTGGCAGGCCCTTGTCCTTGAACTTTGCAACCTCTAGAAGTATGAGAAATAAATTTCCAGTGTTTGCAAGTTACCCCATCTAAGGTGTTCTCTTACAGCCGATCAAAGTGACTAGGACACCATTCCTCATGTAGGCAGCCAGGAGGAGCAATCTGGATCTTCTGAAAGGTCACTCCCTGCACCCACGGCCAGTGCAAATAGACTCCCGGTAAGTATCCTCTGTTTATCAGAAGCCCTGAGGCTCCTTTCCCTGGCATCCATAACCAGGGAGTGTAGCCTTGACCCAGACACTTAAACAACCCCTTGGTTGAGTTTCACACAGGCTGCAAGATCAGCCAGCACTTATTCTCAGCCCTGTTTCTGGTAAGACTTAGTTCTTTATTTTTAATGGGAAAGCCTGATTGGTGAAAAACTCATTATTTGAACTCCAGAAGAAGCCTGTGATACTGGACTCTTACTTCCGTGTCTTGTAGGACACAGATCAACAGAAGAAGTTGTCTGTGCCCACTCTCCTCACAGAGGACCATCCCAATCACTTCAGACACACAGGAGGTCCCCCTATCATCCACCCCCTCCATAACTGCTCTTTGCAGCAGGGATGTTGAGCAATCCTGAGCTTTGTTACAGGACAAGGAAGACTGAATGATTTCCTAACTGGAGCCCACATCTTCTCAAGTCCTCCTGAACAGGGAGCCCCAGAGAGGTACCTCGGTGTCAGAGCTGTTGCCATTCAGCGCTTCGATGTTTGGGTCCCTCCAGTCTTCCGAGAGTGAAGGGATGTAATTGTCTGTCAGAGCATCCCAAACCCTGTAAACAAAGAGAAGCTCTCATTAGCACACATCTGTGGCCTGGCCCCGCCTGGAGGGAGGAAGAGCTGGCGGGGGGAGGAGAGAGGCTGCTGTGTGTGCCAGGCTGAGATCATCTGCCTTCCAGCAGGCAGGGCCAGAGCAGCTTTAAACTGAGCTAGAGGCACGGCCAGGGGTGAGCGCGCCAAGAGCACGGAGCCTGCCAGGGGCTCGGGTGCACAGGTGTAGGCTCCAGGGAAGAGGAATTTCTCACCATTGAGACACAAAGGGCAGAGTCTATAATCAAATTTCCTCTAGCCCTGGAAATAAATCTTCCACTCAACAAGAGTTCACCCCCCTGAGCCTAAGAAGGCCCATGTCCCCTTTCCTATGGGCAGAGAGAGAGAAACAAAAGCAGAGACAGGAAAACACAGAGATCCTGGTTTTCTGGCTGAATCTCATTAAGGTCAGGGTTTATCATCCAGTTTAGACACATTTCAGAGGCCTGCAGTCTAAATGGTCAAGAATTAACTCCTTGACATCCATTGTAGGTAAGGAGATGACACCAATACTGGGAATGCGTACTTGTGACCCACAATGCTGTGGTGAGCCCACCGGTGGTCCAATCCTACCCTCTAGCAACATGTAGTCTAAATGTGCCAATAAATATACCTCTGTCCATGCATTCATTTTGCAGCAAGGAAAGATACAACTTCCTTTATTACATTTCTTTCAAAAAATCCTGATACTGATATATATATATCATATATATGATACTGATATATATAGATATATATATGAAGAAAAGGTTTCTATTCTATAATTTTTATTGCTTTTTTTGGGGTGAAAAACAGAAAGCATTAAGGAAAACTCTGAAGTGACAAACACAAACCAGGAAAATGTAAAAATTAGTCAACACCAAGAGATTAATGTAAATCAGTAAACTAAGCTTCCAATAAAGCCATCCATGGAAGGCAGCAACACTTGAGTTTGTATCAGATATAAATGAGGGCTCTACAGGGGCCCATGCAAGTCAAAAATGAGAGATACCTCTGAGACTAAGGTAGAAGGTTTTTTTATTGTATTATTTATTCGAGTGATACATGCCCATGCTTATTTATTTATCTGGAAGAGTGACAGAGAGAGAGGGAGAGACAGTGAGGGACCCTCATCCGCTGGCTAACTCTGCAAATGTCCACAACAGCCAGGACTGGACCAGACATAAACCAGAGGGCAGGACCTCCATCCTGGTCCCCTACATGTAAGGTAGGGGTCCAATACTTGGACTATTATCTGCTACCTCCTAGGCACATTAGCAGGAAGCTAGACTAAGCTTGAACAAGGCATTACAGTATGGGATGCGGGCATCCCAAGCAGTGGCTTAACCAACTGAACCACAACATCTGCCCCAGAAGGTACATTTTATTTAGATATACTAATCTAAGAAAACAATCATTTAAAAATAGGCATATATGGGGCCGGCACTGTGGTGCAGTGGGCTAAAGCTGCAGTCCGCATTGCCGGCATCCCATATGGGCGCTGGTTCGAGTTCTGGCTGCTCCACTTGTGATCCAGCTCTCTGCTGTGGCCTGGGAAAGCAGTAGAAGATGGCTCAGGCCATTGCGACCATTTGGGGAGTAAACCAAGGATGAAAGACCTCTCTCTGTGTCTCTACGTCTCTCTGTAACTCTTTCGAATAAAATTTTAAAAAATCTTTTTTAAAAATAGGCGTGTGTGTGTGTGTGTATGGATCAAATTCAAAATGTAACAAAAGGGACCAGTGCTGTGGTGTAGTAGGATAAGCCTCTGCCTGCGGTGCCGGCATCCCATATGGGTGCTGGTTTGTGTCCTGGCTGCTCCACTTACAATCTAGCTCTCTGCTATGGCCTGGAAAAGCAGCTGAGGACAGCCCAAGTCCTTGGGCCCCTGCACCTGTGTGGGAGACCCGGAAGAAGCTCCTGGCTCCTGGCTTCAGACCCAGCTCTGGCCGTTGCAGCCATCTGGGAAGTGAACCATCGGATGAAAGACCCTTTTCTCTGTCTCTCTCTCTCTGTAACTCTGCCTCTCAAATAAATAAATATTTAAAAAAGTAACAAAATATGTCATAAGATGCTGAAAAGATTAGGGTAAAACCATATATATTTTTTATATTTATATAAATTTATACACTATGTATATAAACCAGCACAGACACTTGAAAACAGGTGTGTAACACTAATGCAGGAGAGGAATGCTATTAACATGATAAAATCAGAAATGATATCTGACACATGGGCATCTAAGCAAAAAGATTTACCTCCTACACAATGCACACAATTGCTGATGAAACAAATATAAAATAAACCTATGAAAACACAATTTAATAGCAGTGCTTGAAGCATTTGCTAATTCTGTATTTTGCCACCATTACAAGAAGGCTCTGAGAGAACTCAACAAGTGCTTCTAAGACACAGATTCAGCAGGATTTCAGGGCCTACTTCTTAAACCATGAGTGATATCCCAGTCTCTGTCATGCACTATTAAAGATGCATTAATTGAAGCTGCTTCTAAATGCAAGTCCCATTAGCATCCTAGAGCCAAGAGGCAAATGTGATTTGCTGTCTCCAGGACAAGCTCCAGGGCACCAGACCCATTGGAAAGGCCGTCAGGAGACTTCGCTTCATATCACTGCATTACATTTTCCACTTGGAGAATGAACATGCATGCGGGCACTGACCTTCAGAATTTTCCCTACAGGAAGGGCCTTGGAGAAGTGAAATTCAGCAAAACCCAAATTAGGCAGGAGCCTTCTGCTTCTCCAGGGGTTAGACAGAAGCTGGGACCTTAGTGGATTGCACACTTCCCCATGACCTTGAGACCCTTTATAGCCTTTAAATGGCACCTAAAAGCATAGCAGGCATGCAAAGCCGAGACACTCTGGCAAAAAACGTCCTACCCGAAGGACCCCTATGGGTGAGACCCCAGAGGAAAGAAGGGGCCACCAAAGAAGGATGTACTTTTCTCTGAAGAGGGGAGAGAAGTTCCACTTTGCTTATGGCTCTGTCAAGCTAATGGACCCAAAAAGCTTCCATAGCCTTGGCAGTTCGTGGCAAGAGCCTTGGGCAGGCTGGCGCCGCGGCTCACTAGGCTAATCCTCCGCCTTGCGGCGCCAGCACACCAGATTCTAGTCCCGGTCGGGGCGCCGGATTCTGTCCCGGTTGCCCCTCTTCCAGGCCAGCTCTCTGCTGTGGCCCAGGAGTGCAGTGGAGGATGGCCCAAGTACTTGGGCCCTGCACCCCATGGGAGACCAGGAGAAGTACCTGGCTCCTGCCATCGGATCAACGCGATGCGCCGGCCACAGCATGCCAGCCTTGGCGGCCACTGGAGGGTGAACCAATGGCAAAGGAAGACCTTTCTTTCTGTCTCTCTCTCTCTCACTGTCCACTCTGCCTGCCAAAAAAAAAAAAAAAAAAAAAAAAAAAAGCCTTGGGCAATTACTGATATTATACATAAGAGCGTTATTTGTTAAATAAACAAGAATCATTGTGCACTAACTTCCCACGCAGGACCTCTATCCCCAAAGTGTTGTACTGTGAAACTTAATAGTAAAACTTGTTCTCAAGATTCACTTCCTTTTAGTATATTAAAAGGAAGATATTACTATGTCTCATAAGTTATAGTTATGTCCAAGAGCTCACAAAAGAAGTAGCAGCCTTGGGTTCTTCTTTAAAGAAATTAACTTTCTGGCTGGTTGCCGCGGCTCACTTGCCTAATCCTCTGGCTGCAGTGCTGACACCCCGGATTCTAGTCCCGGTTGGGACGATAGATTCTGTCCCGGTTGCTCCTCTTCCAGTCCAGCTCTCTGCTGTGGCCCAGGAGTGCAGTGGAGGATGGCCCAAGTGCTTGGGCCCAGCACCCGCATGGGAGACCAGGAGGAAGCACTTGACTCCTGGCTTCAGATCGGCGCAGCGCAGCCATTTGGGGGATGAACCAATGGAAAAAGGAAGACCTTTCTCTCTCTCTCTCACTGTCTAACTCTGCCTTAAAAAAAAAAAAAAAAAAAAAGAAATTAACTTTCTAAAAGGAAAGGGGGAGGAAGTAAGGGAAAAGAGGAAGGGGGAAAAAAAGGGAAATCAGCTTGGAGAGGCAATAACATAGATAACATAGATCAGCCCTGTACAGACAGCTGAGAACACATCTCTTAGTGTTTTTTTTTTACTCCATTTGTTCTTTTTTTCTTTTTCTTTCTTTCTTTCTCAGACAAAACAAGAGAGAGCAGGAAGGAGGGGAGGGCGGGAATGGTGGGAAGAATTACCATGTACATAAAGTTGTATTTACAAGACACATACAAATTAAAAATAAGTAAATATTTAAAAAAGTATTTAACATACATTGACTGTTTAAAAAAAATGGCAGGGGTCCAGTGCCGTGGCATACCCAGTAAAGCCACTGCCTGCAGTGCTGGCATCCCATATGGGCTCCAGTTCGAATCCCAGCTGCTCCATTTCCGATCCAGCTCTCTGCTATGGCCTGGGAAAGCAGCAGAAGATGACCCAAGCCCGTGGGCCCCTGCACCCACGTGGGAAACCCGGAGGAAGCTCCTGGCTCCTGGCTTTGGATCAGCACAGCTCCAGCCTTTGCGGCCAACTGGGGAGTCAATCAGCAGATAGAAAATCTCTCTCTCTCTCTCTCTCTCTGCCTCTCCTTCTCTGTCTGTGTAACTCTGACTTTCAAGTAAATAAATAAATCTTAAAATAAATTAATTAATTAAAAATGTTAAAGACTCCCTCTGATCACTTGGGGAAGGCCCGCTTTTCTCACCTGAACCTCCCTGACTATACTCTGAATTTCTTCTTCTAATTCCAGGCTTTTAGTGACAGTTCCCTAAACCTCAGGATTTCAAACCATCCTCCTTCGCTTTCATACTTTGTCCAGATTTTCTTCTTCCTTTCTGATGTCCTTTTTATCCTTTGAAGTTTACAAATAGCCTTTAAGATAAAGCAGCTCCCACCTCTGTATAATCACTGGATTCCTTCCGCTCCC